AAGAGGCTTTTAAGTAGCAAGAGTATAACATCACTAAAATGTAAATTTTAGTATATTGGTCAGAGACTTATGGACTCACAGATACACAGATTCTTCCCATTCAAAAGCATTTTATACAAATGTGCTATTTAGACACACACACATGTCTATATGAATCAATGATCTCTACCTGTAGACCACACTCTCATGGTCACAAAGGAGCAACAGAATGCCAGAAAAGGGAAGCTAAGTGCAATGATCATGTTCACTACTAGAAACCAACATCTGTTTCCAAAGATCTACTCCAGAAATAAATGGTGGTTGGGAACTCGGACAGATCCTGGTGTTGGCGGTTGTTCAGATCGGGTTTTCAATTTTTTTCAGTTTCTCAGTGTAGCAGAGGTCTCATTTTTCAACCAGAAATAGCTTCATATGGCTAGGAACTGACTTTCCAAAAACTTCTCTATTGCAGAATTCTGTCATCCTCTGCTTTTAATGCAATGTATTATTGAGTCTCTATCCAACTATTCAGTATCTGTTAAAATATGAAGCCTATTTGTACGGTTTTCTTAACTTTATAAACTTCTAAACAAATGGCTAAGAGAAGAACAAGTAGATCTTCCATAAACTCCTACTAATTGTCTGCTCTTCTGACCTTATAGATATAATCACTTCTACATCTATTTGACAAAATATTAAATTCCTTACCGCAAATTAAGAGAGACGGGATTTCTGTGAATTTCAGGCTAACAGATGAAAACTTACAAGCTTCTCGTTTGTATTGCTAAGAAGCAGCTGAATCTTTATGCTTTTCCTGCCTCATGTTTTCCAAAACTTGAAGGATGGAACAATCTTGAGGATCTCTCGCATTTGTCATATTAGGAAAACAATTAACAGACATTATTTTCATTCAGTAAAACTGTGATTTTTCTTTGTTCTTTCTTAATAATTTAGAAATTGCAAAGGCCAAAGCTGTCAGGAATTATATTTAAATAAGGTGATTAATTATGAAAGTCATTAAGTACTTGATTGATACTGTGGGACCATTGATTTGGTATTTTCTACTTAGACCCAAAGCCAGATTAAAGATTACAAGTGAATAGCCAGTTTTTAATATTGAAATATCGAAAGAATGGTGGGGATGAGAAAGGTAGATGACTCTGGAGTGAGCTGCCACTTCTGCCAGTGTGATTCCAACGAAAGACACAGTCAGTCCCAGAACTACCAGTGGGACCCAGACAGCCTGGTCCCAGTGAAACCAATCAGGGGCTGCTGCTTGTGCTGCTCTGCTGGTATCTGTAAATGTATAGAGACAAAGCACACTTTCTACATCCCACAGTCCGTGAGACCTATTGCATACTATTACACAATTCTCCCATTTTTATTTTGCCCTTATGATTAGAAAAATTCCTCAACCTTGAAAAACAATAAAAAATGTTCATAGCAACTCCTGTGAGTTTTATTAGCTGCTGTATGGCTGATGGTAGCAGAACAGCCCTGAGTTTGCTTTACTATGGTCATTTAAGCACCTTAAGCTTAAAATGTTCCCAGGGCAAAAATTAGGGCTATGCCTAACAAGTACATTAAACCTTATTATGTCTATTAAGCACAGGGAGCCACCCTTGTTGCAACTGCACATTACGTTTGAAAGCTGTTATGGGCCACGTACTGAATCCCCTCATCAAACCAGCGTGGGAGGGACTCTTTTGTGTCATTTAGAAACCCTCAATTACAAAAGAACTAGTTAAAAGGGCAAAGAAATGGATTTTCCTAACACAGCACCAGAAAACATAAACAGGCACTGGACGTAGGCAAAGAACTAGAAACATTTTTTTGCGTTCTGGTTTTACTCTTCTTCTGCTACCTTGGCATCTTAAGACACTCAAAATGAATAAAAAGCCCAATATCTGAGGGAAAAATACCTCATTGCTTGAGGAATCAAACACTTAGAAATTGCCCAAGAGACAAAAATCAAAGATATTTTTGTCTGCAACACCCAAAATAGAATAAAATATAATGAAGAACCACCCACTGCAGGTGAAGATCAAGTACGAGACCACCTGAGGAACCTGAAGATGCCCAAGTCCATGGGACCTGATGAGATATATCTGCAGGTCCTGAGGGAACTGGCAGACAAAGTTGCTAGGCCGCTATCCGTCATATTTGAGAAGTCGTGGCAGTCTGGTGAGGTTCCTGCCAACTGGAAAAGGGGAAACAGAACCCCTATTTTCAAAAAGGGAAATAAGGAAGACGCAGGGAACTACAGGCCAGTCAGTCTCACCTCTGTACCCGGCAAGATCATGGAGCAGATCCTCCTGGAAACTCTGCTGAGGCACATGGAAAATAAGAAGGTGATTGGTAGCAGCCAACATGGCTTCACCAAGGGCAAGTCATGTCTAACAAATTTGGTGGCCTTCTACGAGGGGATTACAGTGGTAGTGGACAAGGGAAGAGCAAATGACGTCATCTACCTGGACTTGTGCAAAGTGTTTGACACTGTCCCACATGATATCCTGGTATCTAAATTGAAGAGACATGGATTTGATAGATGGACCACTTGGTGGATAAAAAACTGACTGGACAGTTGCATGCAAAGAGTTGTGGTCAACGGCTCGATGTCCAAGCGGAGACCAGTTATGAGTGGTGTTCCTCAGGGGTCAGTCTTGGGCCCTGTGCTGTTCAACATCTTTGTTGGTGACATGGACAGTGAGATTGAGTGCACCCTCAGCCAAGTTTGCCAATGATATGCAGCTGTGTGGCGAGGTAGACACGCTGGAGGGGAGGGATGCCATCCAGAGGGACCTGGACAGGCTGGAGAGGTGGGCCCATGCCAACTTCATGAAGTTCAACAAGGCCAAGTCAACGTGAGCCAGCAATGTGCAATCACAGCCCAGAAGGCCAACCGTATCCTGCGCTGCATCAAAAGAAGTGTGGCCAGCAAGTCAAGGGAGGTGATTCTACCCCTCTACTCTGCTCTGGTGAGACCCCACCTGGAGTACTGTGTCCAGCTGTTGGAGCAGGTCCAGAGGAGGGCCACAAAGATATCAGAAGGTTGGAGAACCTCTCCTATGAGGACAGGCTGAGAGTTGAGGCTCTTCAGCCAGGAAAAGGCTCTGGGGAGACCTTATTCCAGCCTTCCAGTACCTAAAGGGGGCCTACAGGAGAGCTGGGGAAGGGCTTTTTACAAGCGCATGTAGTGATAGAACGAGGGGGAATGGCTTCAAACTGGAAGAAGGTAGACTTAGATTAGATATTAGGACGAAATGTTTCACTCTCAGGGTGGCGAGGCACCGGAACAGGTTGCCCCGAGACAGTGTGGCTGGCCCCTCCCTGGAGGGGGTCCAGGGCAGGCTGGGTGGGGG